CAAACATTTAAAGACCACTTAGAGAGTTCATATTAAATTGATCATTAAAACTTTTTAGGGATAAACTGACAGTTGATTAGACATAGATTTTTGTATTAGTTTAGCTTCAGTAACAAAGACCTCCATCTCAGTGGCCTACAAAAGTAAAAGTTTAGTCTCATTCACATTATATCGTTGCTGCAGGTCTGCTCCTGTTCTAAATGTCATCTTCATTCTAGGATCCAGCCCTTATGTGGGACATGCTCTTCTTATGACAGAGGGAAAAGAGCAGGAAAGCTGGTGAAAATTCACAACAGCTCTTAGAACTTCTGCTCAGAGCTGGCATGTCACTTCGTCACATTTCATTGGCCAGAAGATGTCATGGCAATAGGCAAGGATATGTAACCCTTTTACAGGACAAAAAGGGAAGCAAATATTTGGGAACATAACAGTATACCACCGTACTAAGTTCCGTCTCGTGTCTGTTGAGAAGGTCCTTTGAGAAGTAGACATCAAGATAGGATTAGACATGCAAGAAGTTTATTAAGTCTGCAGAGAATAAAGGGAAAGGATCAGGAGCAGCAGGGAGACTTGCAGTGCAAGTCTGACACCTGAGAAAGGAGACAGGGAAGGGAGGATGACTGGGTAGGAAGAGCTTTAGACCGCAAGGTCAGAAAAATTTCATCCAGGCTGATGGAGTCTTTGAGCAAAGGTGTCCTACAGGAATGGACTTGTACTAATGCCCGCACTGTGCGCAGTCATGGGCTGAGAGCAGCCTAGGGGAAGCACGACCTAAGCACAGACACAGTAGTGGACCCAAAAGGATGGCAGCTGGAGCTGTCAGTCAACTCTGCTTCCTCCAAATGGAGGTCTGAGTAGTATGTTCCTTGGCCACAGTACTCATCAATAGCACACCAAGAGAAATGGGATTAATACATTCTACACATCGATAATGTTGTACAGTATTTTTTAATGAGAATGATAGTACAGGAGTTTTAGAAACTAGAGAAACATCCCAAATCCTACCATTGTAACTGAAGTGTTTTCACTTTGCCATATTTTCCAGTTTTCCCTGATGTGTATGTGCTTTTACACTGTTGGCAGTGATAAGGACATTGAAATTTGTGTCATGAGTTTTATTTGATGTATCATAAAACATTTTTCATGTTGCTGTATTTTAGTTGTTTTAAATAGCAGTACATTTCTTAGAGCAGTGTATTAGAACTCTTAGGTTAAAGGTACCAGCTTGGGCTAAATTAGGGAAAATAGAGGTATGTGAGAGGAACTGGAGGCAGAATGCCACCGAGCTCCACGAAGGAACTGGAACCTGGAGCTTGAATGCCGTCAGAACTTTCTCTCCCTTTGTATCTTCATGTTGGTTTCTTACAGTATCTACACATCTTGCTGTTTGTTCATCCACTGGCTGACCAGGGAACAGCCACTCTGCAACTCCTGCATTCAGATCTATTCAGGAGATTAGGGTTTGTCAGTCGGCTATGTGATATATCTGCTTGGGTCAGCTGGGGTGAAGGCTGGTGTAGGGGTTGCTGGTGAACTCTTATGGCAGGTGAACAAGTCCGTGAGAAACAGGCTGAGCAGACATGCCAAAAAGTATTCACTAAAACTGGCTCTAACAACCTATCAACACTAATCAGAAATAGTCACTTTTGATTTGATACTATTCTAAGAAACATCATCTTATACAAATTTTTGTTACTTATTTAAGCTGTATTCCCAAGATGACATCACTGAGTCAGAGCTATTAGTACTTAAAAACTGATGACACTTAACGCCATTCTGCTTTTCAAAAGTAGTTTCTTTTAGAATCTTCAGTAGTTTCCTTTTGTAATAGTGGAAGTCACTTTTCTTTTTTATGTATTGTCAGTTTGTTAATGTTAAATGTTTGCAGTAACTATGCATCTCAAAATAGTACAGTATTTTTTGTTTCAAAGAAAGGTAAGTATTTTTATTTTTTAATTTCTGGGTATTATCTAGGAAATAACTTGAATGATAAATCTTTGTATAAATGAGAAGTTAATACATTTGGAAAGCATTTATAACCTATAAAGTACCATACAAATGCTTGTTGAGTTCCTCCAGAAAATAGCAAAATAAAATTTTTATAAAGGAAAATATTTGATATTTTATACGATAAAGGACTTTGTATTATTTGTGAACCTAGGCTGTAGTACACAACTTGGAACTTTATCTAAGTCCTTAAATTATTTTATTTTGCAGAGTATATGCGAAAAAGTAGAACACAGTGAGAGAGCAGTAGAGAAACTACTAAAGGATGTAAACAGATTAAAAGGAGAAATTAAAAAAGAAAACAAGCACAGATTCAAGCAACACGTAAGTAAAACTTCACACGTCACTACTCTGTGCTTTAAAGAAAAATTCTCTGATTGGAATTATGAATGAGCTGGCTGTACTATGAATGTGTCTACTTTAGGGTTAAAAATAACTTTAATACTCTTAAATCGCACTGAACGAAGAACATGGTACTACTTTAGTTACACTATCTTGACATTAAACTATACAACAACTTTAATTTTTTCTTAGGATGTTGTGGCACATAAATTTGGATTAAATATATCTTAATTTAGATAATTTGATATAATTCTTTAAGGTCTTTTTTACTTTACTAATAGATAACTATAAAAGCTTTGTAGTACAATACTGTTTTTGTTTGTTTGTTTAGGAGAGAATGTCCAGAAAGACCCTCAGGAGAACATTTTTCTTTGTCAAGCTTTACGGACCTTTTTTCCAGATTGTGACTTTCTTCATTCATGTGTTATCTCCTTGAAAGACAGGCGTATTTCTAAAAGCAGTTGTAATACCACCCATCATCTCAGTGAGGTAGACAACCTGACCCTAATGGTGGAATACACTGACATTCCTGAAGCTAGTCCAGCTGGCAGCGCACTGCAAATGACTAAGCGTAAAGTTTTAGATACAGATGACAGATGGCAATTCAAGAAGTTACGGCTGTTAGAGATACAGAACAAACCATGGAAAGCAGACACTGACAGCAGTAACCAAGAAAAAGCATCCGCAGTGAGCAGCCCGGAAACAGATGAAGAGATTGAGAAAATGAAGGGTTCTGGTGAATACTCACAGTCTCCTACCTTTTGATTCTTTTAAACCAAATTGGAGATTTTTGATCAGCTGAAGGGTAATGCCAAACATTTCTATTGTTTGCATCATGTTCAGCTCTTTGCAGTAACACATAGATAAGTTCTGGTGCATTTATTTTATAAAGTACTTTAAATTGAGTGAATCCAGAATTTGAATTCAGAATAAGCCTAGTAATGCAGTGTGTTTGGGATCTGCAGTTGGTCAATTAGGTGAAAAGTCCAGTTAAGTGGAACTCAAATGATATGTACACATACATATGGCATCTATCAGAGGTTTCATTTGAACATACAGCCGAAGTGTACATTGATTTCTCAAACTTTTACTGTAGGGCCAGGGACTTTTCTAAGAATGTATTGGAGTTCCTATGAAAATCACACCCATACTTAACCTTTACAATTCCCAGTTTTAGTTTCTTTAAAGAAAACTTGCAAAGCGACCTAAGGATAAAATGCTACTAGTTCTTTTTTCATTTCTCATTCCCAATCTTACTTAATTGTCCTAACCATACCTAATTTGACAACTTTTTTTTAATCTAGTTATCTTTATCAAATCTTCTCAAAGCACTTACTTAGTTTTCATTGCAACAGTAACTTTCTAATGCTCATACTTATCGCTACAAAAATGCAGTGAACACAGGTCTGGGAACAAAATAGCTGACTCTTGGCAATGTAGAACTCAGTAGGTTAGGAGAGTCATGGGCTTGAGTGTGATTTTTAAGGAGGATGTAAGGCCCCAGTTTAATCCAGTGAGTTGGTTAAGTGGAGGTTGATAAAAAGAGCTTTGACTGTGTTGTCTTTGTCTTTTCCATAACAGAATTTCCCTTTAAGCAGACACATCACATGCAGCCTTCATGTGGTACTCAGTGGGTGAAATGCTGAACCCACATGTTGACTACGGCTCTGCCATCAGTTACTTCCTAAGTAGTAAAGCATATTCATAGCTAGTATCAAAAACTATCTTTTACCTATGTGTCAACACATGCATTGGTTACCATGGGGTGCTTCTGAAGCCCACATAATACCAGGGACAATTTGTGCAAATAATGAGTTTCTATTGAGATTGTTTCACTGGTTATGTAAGAAGCACAGGGCAGGAGAGGAAATAGGGTTCAGTCTGAGCTCTAATTTAAAAATAATTGATATCCCAACTTTTAGGGTATTCAATGAAAAGGAGGAAAAGAATCCTTGTAGGACACTTTTTCTCCATTACTCTCCACCTTTTGGCAGTTAGTTTGCATCACTGGATAAGATGATGATGTAGTAGATTGCCTATGGACTGGCTTATTTATAGGAAACTAGCAGCTTCAGGATACACTAGTCCAGGAATGAATGTTAGGTCCTGTGACAGCACCACTATGCATCTCCATGTAACATCTCTACAGAGGGAAGACAAGTCCTAGCCAGCGTACTTATTTGCTCGTTAGAAAATCTTCCTTAGTATTTTAAGTTCACATCCTGTCATGTGGGATTTGTACATTATATAAACATTTCACTCTCCTACGCTCCCATCCCCACAGTCCTATTTACAAGGCAGAATCTGAGCCCAAAGTAAAATTCCAGTACAAGTCATCCCTTTCATGTTTAACATCTCAGTATCAGTGGTAGTTGTATGAGCTATTTGAGGACTAGATATAAGTGAAAATCCCACGGTACCGATTTTTTCATTCATATGTATGCAAACTGTAATGAGTAGTAACATTTTAAATAATCTGATTCAATTAATGAACATTCTCATGGAGAGGAAGCTTCTCTCTTGAAACACTTTTTCCTCATAAAATTTCAAATTACTAAGAATTAAAAAGTTAATACTTAAGATTTAGCCTATTAGTTTTCTACTCAAAGGTTATTAAAACTTATAGTTTGAGTCAGTATTACTACCACACATTTATTGTAAAATAAGTTTATTGATGGTAACTTTATGTAATTTACTCCCTGTATCTGATGTTACAAATTTTAGGGTCTTTGAGATATGCAGGATCCTTGTATGTAACTGGCATAAACCCTGTAAAGAGATAATGAAAGTTCTTTACTATGACAAAAATGAATCTGTTACTGAATATTTAGGTAAAATAATATGAAAATGCCGGGGGTGGGGGGAAGATAATGAAAGTTCTTCACAAAAGATAATGAGCAAAATTTTGGTTGGCATAATTCATGTTTTCAGATGCTCTTACCCATTATTTGAGCTCTCTTAATTGCTTTTGTGATTTCTTTTTGTTTCTTCCCACAAAGACCTATAAAAGAATATGATTTCTTAATCACAAAAAATGCCAGTATTCAAAATGCATAACAATTAAGACAAGGAAGAACTGGAAAACCAGGCTTGTGGGCCATACGGTCTCTGTCACTGTCACTCAGTTCTGCAGTTGTAGCTTAGACACTATGGAAGGTAAGCTATTTACAGAAACAAGTAGCAGATCTGATTTGGCCTCTATGCAGTAGACTCCTGGCTTAAGTAATAGTCTAGAGATGATTATAGGGTACTCTGAAACAGCAAGCAGTTTTTTTAAGCCCAAGTTTTCTACATGTTGTCAGCCTATAGTTAACTGAGTATAAGAGGACATGCAAAACAATAACCCTTTTGGCCTAAGAGGCTTTTTCAAAGTACTCACAGGATCTGGCCTAATAGTAATTTACAGCACTATTTTTGCCAGTTTTCTTAAATAACAGAAGCAGATTTATATAATTCTTATCTACTTTTAAGTTGCTATAATAGAAAACAAAATACCTGTTATGTGCCTTCCATAAATGCATCCAGTAAATGGAGAAATAAACTGGGATAAAAGCTGTTTTCAGTTTTATTTGGAAAGGAAAAAAAATTTTATTAATATACTTGTTATTCAACCTTGATTGTGTAAGTTTCAGAAACCTTATGCCACCTTCAAGTTATGTAAAGGTTTATTAATAAATTTCAGACAAACTTCAAAAATATGAATAGAAACACTGAATTGTGTACTAGTAGGTCACTTTTAAAATAATTACTGAAGTTAACATTTCTTATCCAGTATGTCAAAAAAGTCTATCCAGCAGGTTAATGCGCATATTCTTTCAGTGCTAACGCTGTTTTCTTGACTTTCCCACAGGCAGCTTTTCTAGAACACTGCTGCTTATAACAAGGTACAACACATTTCCTGTCATGACAGGCTATCACATAATATCAGACTACAGTGAGGTCTTCAAGAGGTACAGGTACATCAGGCCATTTGCTGTTATTTGTGTTTTATTAATTTAAATTCTTAAGCACTTTCTAGGTACCAGGCACTGTTCTGGGCACTATGCATAATCCTAAATTTCTTGGGTTTTCTCCCACTAAGGCAGCTATCACTTTATACCACTGTCAGTATACTTAACTCTGGTACCATTCTCTCCCCTAAATTTGCCACTTTTAATTTGCTGAATACTGGACAACAGATAAAATTATATTCGAAACAGTGATATTGGTGGTGAGATACAGAGATCAACTTCACCAGAGGAGCTTTTTCCAAACTACTCAGTTCCATCTGAGGATCACTGCCATAGTGAGCTATTGTTAAGACATTTGGGGCAGAGAGAAGAGAGAGATGCTGAGCTGCACTAACAGGAAATGAGGGAGAGCCAAGGAACTCTTATTTGGATAAAACAGATACCTTTTACATAGAAGTATAACCAGATCTGAAATTACAAAGTTGCTAAAAGTCACTACTACACAAAGCCTGTTATAAAACTGACTTCCTTTTCTTTTTTTAATAAAGAAGCAAAATCCCAAAATCAAGTTATCATAGTGAAGTAAAACCAGATCTCACCTGTATGTTCTTATAATCTACACGTTTTCCACACAAGATACATTTTTTCAGAGGCTCCTTGTAAGGATTTTCCATTGGAACAGGCTAGAATAAAGGGGAAAAAATCTGATAATAAAGTTTGTGGTAATTTTGAATCAGACACTTAAATCTTAGGTTACTACATTTGAATCTCTTCAAGGGATGAGCTGTACCTCTCCTACTGTGAAAAAGGGTAACAATAGCTTGGCTTGTAAAACAAAAATCGAGTATTCCTGAAAAAGATTCACCATTTTAAAGGGTTCACTGTACTCATACGTATTTTGTACACGTATTTTGTTTTAGTTTGGCTAAGGAGGGATTAAGTCACAGAGAAGAATTCTGAGATAAAAGACAACCTCTGGGAAAAAATAGGTTTATGGGAGGAAAAAACATTAAAATCTTTGATAAGTGATTCTTTCCTCAAATGCTTTGCCCAGATTGTAGGTGACTAAAAATCCTTACCTTAGATTTAAACTAAGAAAAACTTACAGCAAAGCAGATATATACAATTCTTAAAATAGTACAATCCCTAAATCCATCCCCATATTTCTCTAGATGTTTTATTACTATTTTTATATTATAAAAAGACAACACCCCCATGGCTTACTGTAATACTATCAGGTTCTTTGACTACAATTTTATGGCTCCAGACTGTTATAAGTTTGTGTCAGCCTTTTTGGTTTTTCTGTGTTTGCTACTGCCTCTTAGGTTTCTGTCACAGGCCTCCCTCCTATAATCAGTATAGGTGTCTCCAGTCTAGAGATTCTTAATCTAGAAATGGCTTTGAAGTCCTTGAACTCCCTTGAAGTCCAACCCCCTTGAATTGCCTTTGAAATCCTCAAACCCCTTGACTTTTGTAGTATGGAAAATTTCAAATAAATGGAATAGTGTGCCTTTTTCTGAGAGAACCTGTAGCTTTCATTAGAGTCAGTGGGACTCTAGTAATTTCCTTTTCTCTCTTGGCTATGATGTGAATTAGATAACCAAGATGGATGCTCAAAGTGCTAGAGGAGTTTTTTTTCCTCCAACTTCTCAAATTTTCTTAATCCAGTTTACATTCAGCTCACATATAATGTGTGACTGTTCCTTCTCTACACTGTGCTAAGTGCTTTGTATGGTCTGATTAGTGTCAAGTTATCTTTGCATGTAGCAAGAAAACCTGTACTGCCCAAGTCTAATACTAATACTTGAAATCCATAAAAATGCATCTATGGTTTAGAAGAAACTGCATTTAATGTCCTGGTATAAAATTTTAATTTTGATCCCTCACTTACTAAGGCTACCCCGCCCTCTGCCCAAAGTGATGAATAGGACAAAGATAGAATTAAATTTGAAATGGGAAAAGTGCCAAGGTACAGGTATACTGTACAATTCCTTTGTTGGATTTTCTTCAAATAATGCTTCCACCAAAACTACCTTTTTTAATTCCCAAAGCACATATCCAGAAAGAAAAATGTGGTGTTACAGAAGCCACGCTCTGGCTAGGAACCTAGGAGTTCTCTTATTTCAAAGCTCTCTTAAGTGACTACTCATCAACAAATTACAATTTTCAAACTCAGACTAATGATTATCATCTTAATTGGTTTTGTCCCTCAGCTGAACTCTATTCAAATAGCTAAGACATAAAAATTTGGTCATATTTGCAAATGCCTTATTAAAAGGAAGAAAAAAAAAGTTCTTACCAGGTCCTCATTGCTGGTTACCTGTTTATACTGTGAACAACTTCTCCAGAGAACTGCAATTAAACAGAAGCAGCAACAAACCAATTTTTTGTTAGCTGAGCAGCTAAAGAAAGATTTTGTTTCTATGGAGGCAAGATGAATTAAGGGACACAATATGGTGGGGGGCTTGGGATAAATTAGGAGTTTGGGATTAACATATACACCTTCCTATATATAAAATAAACAATATGGTCCTACTGTATAGCATAGGTAACTATATTTGATATCTTATAATAACCTATAATGAAAAAGAATCTTAAAAAAAAGGTATATATATCACTCTGCTGTACACCTGAAACTAAACCAACATTGTAAATCAACTATACTTCAATTAAAAAAGGACACTATAAAAAAGTTTTTATACTTATTATACTAAGAAGGTTAAATAAAGGTTAAAAACCTTTAGATTTGAGGCAGAGTAACAGGATAAATGTACTTTCTGTAGCTTTGGGGAAAGGCCATATATATCCCCACCCATACAACTTCTCACCTGCTCTTCCTGAAATTTATTTTCCCTTCTCTCCATGGGTAGAGACAGACTTTAACGCAAACCGAAAGGCATTGTCAAACCAAAAGAAAAATGAAAAAAGACTCCCTACAGAGAGTAGGTATTGACAGAGGGGCACAAAGTAGATAAAAGTGCAGAAATGATATTCCAGGGTCCATGTCACAATTTCGCCCTGATCTGGGACGACTGGCTGGCTGAAGAACGCTCCTTCCTTACCAAGTATATCCGAAGATCTTAGGCAAGTCCTTGCCTGTTTTTGAGAATCACTCCATCAGTCTCCTCATGCTTTTTTTTTAAGTGTACCGGACGACATCTCATGCCCCCGTCAGCTTTAAAATACTAGTCACAGTCCATTACAGATTCCCACTTATCCTAAAGAAATAAAATTGCCTAGACCCTGGCGTCCTTTAGCTAACAGTGACGACTCCATCGACCTAATTAGGGTTAAGCCAACGGCTGCAACGCTACAAAGGAGCCTAGGATACGGAGACTTTACCTGCTTGAATCCTAGAATCTCTAATGCAGACAGCAGCCGTTACGAAGTGCGTCAACCTTTTCCTCCCTAGCCCACTACAAAGAGCTACCAAAGAGGCCATGGTTCCTTGCTCCTCCTCTTCCTTTCCTTTTTCCAAATCGTCCTGACAAGTCCCTTCCGGTGTTCTTCCCCTGCTGGCCCGAGTACTCGGTTCAAAGGTTCCGCAGGCGAACGCCGCGAACGTCAGAAAAGAGCACGTGGGGTTTTCAATGCGCCTGCGCGGCATCTTCCCGCAAGCCAGGCCCAGGAGATTGGACGAGGAGAGGGCGGGTTCTCACGTTTGTGCCTGCGGTTCCGGCCCCAGAGTCCTGACAATTGGTTTGTAGTCTTTCCCAAAGGTGGATGGAGGGGCGAGCGGGGTTTCCACCTGTGGCTACCCGCTCCCTGTTGCTGCACTAACCCCTCCATTGGGCTCTGGCGGCTGGGCCACGGGGGACGAGGTTCGGGCAGGGCCCTCGGCCCCTGCCATGGATGAAGGTGGCTCCTGCATTCGCCGGCGGGTGTTCGTTCACAAAAGGAACCGTCCTAGCCTAGAGAGCGTTTTTGCCGCGCCCACCGCGGCGGAGCTCAAGTCTGGCGATGAGGAGGAGGAAGAGGACGAGATAGGGGCTGGGAACCGGCGGCGGAAAACTGTGGACGTGCAGCCTGTCGAGGTACAGCCCCACCACCTCTCAAATTCCCCAGAGTTCCTCGTTCCATTTCCCACCTTAGGGGTGATGATCCAAACCTAGGTCTCCTACTGCGCATGCTCACTGAAAGAGCTATGGGAGACCAGCTACAGAAGGCGTGGGTCTTGAAACGCAAAAAATAAAATAAAAGAAAGGAAAAATTTGCCAGTTCCCTTCCAATTGGCCAACTATCTACTGGCCTTCATGTGCTTACCTCGCCTTTGTTATCGCTGTTAATCCTCACTTGGAGGTAATCCTGTGTTCTTAACCACTATATTGCTACCTCCAAATTTGTGTCTTTTCTGTTTAGCAGACCATCCCAAGTCACTCGCCCTTTCAATTCCAAATTTCTGCCAACAGAATCTCCTTGGAGTGTCCAGTGATACAAGCATGATTTTGTTACAGGCCAGTCTCTGCAGATTGGAGTTTGAGAAGGGGAAAGGGTACTGCAGTTATCAGAAACTTCTAGTGAGATGACATCCTTCTCAGTAGATGGCTACTGGTCTTGCTGCCATTTTCAGGATTTATCACTAGCTTGACAGTTAGGATGCCAGCATCACCATACACTAGGAGTACAGTTTATGCCAGTCACTTAACCCCTCTAGGCCTCCATTTTCTCATCTGTAAAATGAGGGTGATGGTGTTTATTTCACAGGGTGATTTACGTTTAGGTGCCTGATTCATATGTGACCATATAGTTATATACCTGGTAGAGCCATAGGCCAAAACTTTTAATGAAGCTAGAATTGGGCATAAGTTTTTGTTTGTTTGTTTTGTTTTCTTTCCAGAACATTGACAGTGAAGAGGACATGTTTGGTGACAATGATAGCTTTGCTGAAAACTCTCTTTTAGCTCAAATTGATGACCTGGAACAAAAATATATGCAACTTCCTGAACATAGGAAGCATACTACAGACCATGCCACTGAAGATCCTTGTGCAGAAAGCATTAAACGCAAAACACTCAGCATAACTACTGTAGGCAACTTTACTGAATTAAAACTGGATGAGCACACAAAGAACCAAAGTGGTCATGAAGATGTCTCTCTTGAACCCGAAGCTGATCTTCTGTATGATGTACCTTCTTCACAAGTTTTATTCTTTGAAAATTTGCACAAGTCTTCAAATGACTTTAGAGATCCATCTGCTAAAGAGAGGGATTGGAGCTCATCCTCTCACAAGACTGCAAATGAGGAATTGCCCACTAATAGCATAGATCAGGCCCAGCAAATTGATGAATCCTCTTCTAAAGTCAGAGCTAGTTCAGATGTGAATAGGAGAAAAAGTCTTAAAGATCATCTAAAAAGTACCATGACTGGAAATGCCAAGGCCCAAACACCAATATTTTCTAGGACTAAACAGCTCAAAGAGGCTCTCCTATCTGAAGAAATTAATGTTGCTAAGAAAACAATTGAGTCATCATCAGATGACCTTGGTCCTTTTTATTCCTTACCCAGCAAAGTGAGAGACCTTTATGTTCAGTTCAAGGGAATTGAAAAATTATATGGTAATGTTTTTTGCTGGGATGAAAAAAAATTACCATCATTACCATAATATTGGTGCAAATCAATAGAAAACAGATGCTTTTGTGGTCATGTTTCTCATCTTAAAACGAAACATCAGTCCTCTCTCAGCCTTCCATCCCTATCCTGCTACTGTTGAGCCTCTTTCCATCCCTCCATGGTCACACTCCTCCAACCTGTTATCCTTGCTGCCTCCTTTTCCTCACCTTAGTTTCCCAGCCCACTCTGACTCTGGGTTCTGTGCTGTCAATATATAATGACTTGGGGGAGGGTCTAAACCCAGTGATGCTTTTAGTTCTTAACTTTCTTGACTTCTCAGTAGCTTACCGGACACAATTGACTAGACCCTTCTTGAAATATCCATTTCTTGGCTTCTTGACATTCTACTCCTGTTTTTTTCTCTGATTGTCTGGCTGCTCCTCAGTTTTCTTAGCTAATGCTTCCTTAGCTGCCTCTTACTTGGCTACCAAAACTTAGCTGTTGAAATTCCTTTGACTGTTCAGGTATCTTGAGTGAAAGAAGTCAGTATTTGTAATACCATTGATTAAAATGAAACATCTTTAAAGACAGCTGAAGTTAGGGTTTAAGTGGAAAGAAATAGTATTAATAATTTATCTTGTAACATTTTCAAAAATCCAAGGTCCTTGCATATATTTCAGATTGTGTCATTTTAGACAAAGAAGGGACGCTTGCTGCCATCCTGGAAGAGCAGCCTACCAACCAGTCACTTCACAATTACTTCTGAAACTCCTAAGTTAGTATCTTATGAACCACATGAAAACATGGGGTCTCATCTCAGGGAGAAGACAATCAGGTTGGAGATGTAGGACTGCAGGAAACAATATAAGACTTTACAAGAGTCTAACAAATTCTAAATTGTGAGGTTTGCGGTTTAAGAGCTAAAGGTGTGTATTGCCCTTGAAGTAGATGTTAACTTTCTTCCCTCTGCTTTTCTCCTAGCACTTTGTTCTTTGTTTTAATCTGCATCTCCTACCAGAATGAGTACCCTGCGGACAGGGCTCACTCTAACTCATCTTTTTCTTATGTAACTAGCACTGTGCCTGGTAAACTCTGGTAGGTTCTTAACTGCTGGGGGTTGCCAGCCTGGTTATGAATTCTGGCCTTGTCACTTAAACACAAGTTTTGCACTTTTAGCCTTAGTTCCTGATCTATTAAAAAGGGATAATAATAATAATAATAGTTGTTTTGCCAGTTATGTTCTGTGTCGAGGACATGCCAAGTTAGATTTTGGTAATGACTGTTGGTAATTATATTGATCACTTCTAAGTAAGAGCTTCAGTAAATAACTTTTTAAATCTCTTTACTTGTAAATCTGGCTTAACGACATGACTGATTTAAAGCATAAACATGTGTGCCACTTTTCATTGAGCTAAAGCAGTGCTTCTCAAAGTGTAATTCCTGGACTGCAGTATCAGCATCACCTAGAAATTTGTGATGTGCATTTCAATGCACATTCTTAGGCTTCACCCGAGATCTCCTGAGTCAGAACCTCTGAGGCTGGGACCTGACAACGTGCTTTAATAAGCCCTCCAAGTGATGCAGATATGTGGAAAATTGAGAACCACTTAACTAGAGAACTTCAACCTAATACTGTTATTTTTGCCATTTAATCATAGAATTACATGCTTAATGTTTTATTGAAATGTTGGGAACTAAGTTAATGTAATTTTTTTTTTTTAGTGTGTGAAGATAAATGCTATTTCTAAATATTCATTATTTTGGTCAATTTATACTTTAAAAATCTGAGGTGGATAAAATGTGGATATGGTCAAGTTGTATTTTCACACAAACATCTGCAGGTCGATAACTAATGGGTGATACTAGTCTGGTGTATTTTTTAATATATGTTTTTGTATTTAATATTTTTAAATATTACATTTAAGTATTTAAATATTTTTGAAATTCCTAAATATAGTTGGTTTACAATATTAGTTTCAGGTGTACAACATAGTGATTCAATATTTTTATAGATTATACTCATTTTAAAGTTGTTGCAAAATAATGGCTATATTTCTCTGGGCTGTACAATATTGAAATACTTTTAAAGTAGAAATACATAGTCATTTGAAATATTTCAGGCTGCAAAGAATTACATAATATGATTGTGCGCTAATTCATTCAGCCTTTACCCCCGTGGTGGCTCTTTGTTATATATAAACAATGCTGTGAACACCTTGCATGTAACCTTTGTATGCTCTTGCTTTTAGTTCTGTAGGTTAAGACCCCTAGAAGCAATCCTGCTAGATTAAAAACAATGGGCACTTTTATTTTGATTCTGCAGGGTTGCATTCCAAAAAGATTGTAGCACTTCCTGCTTTCATAAACCACACACAAAAGTGCCTGTTTGTGCCGGCTGTAGTCAGCTCTGGATTTTACCTGTGGGGGGCTTTTTTCTGGTATTTAATCCTTTTTGTTTGTTTGTTTATTTTGCCAGCCTAATAGGTAACAGTAGAGAATTTCTTCATCTGTTTATTAGCATTAGCATTTCTCCCTGCTGTGAAATATCTTGTCATATCTTTTGCCCATTTTTCTAGTGATAAAATACTGGCGCACATTTTGAAGACTTCTGGTGTTGCACGTTGTCAGATTTTCCTGCACACTGGTTGTACTCATTTTCACACCATGTTTTGGGTCTGATGTGGTCCTCTTCATGAATTCTACCTTGCTAAGCTGTGGAGCTCCTAGATGTCCTAGTTAACCATCCTAGTCTCTCATGGTTTAAACAGTCTTAGTTTACAACGGTATTCAGGCCATTCAAAGTTCAGCTCCCCCTGAGAGTTCGTTGAATAGTCTTTCTTAGTTTGTACAAAACCTCACACATTTTTTTCCACCTTCCCCTGTGTCTCTCTAAGATGATATTTGGGTAAATGAAGAAGGGAAACACACAAAATCTCCTTGCAGAACATA